AAGAAAGAAATTAAAAAGAAAAGCTAGACCAGGAGAGCTATAGACCAGAATGCCAGTTTACTGACGAGGACTAGAATTACAAAGAACACTGGAATGTTTATGTCTGCAAGGTAGAATATATAGTCTCTCATATAAAAAAGCCAATATACATTAAAATGTAATTGTAAGTTTGTATGGTTACTATGGAGTTAGGATGAGGGTTATGATATCCTACTCGTGGTTTTAACTATTCAGGCTTCTATCTGCAGAGACCAGAATACTCACTTCCATGGACCAGGACAGCTCCTCCTTGCCACCCTACCACGCCCCAAATGGTGCTGAAGGTCATAGGATAATCATTTGTGCTCATCAGAGAGAGAGAGGCCCAGCCAGCCAGCCACCAGGCCCAGGACTTGAACTGCAGTTGGCAGTGTGGGAGTCCAGCACCTCAACCACCACGCTACCTGCTGGCCCCTTCACAAGCTTTTTAACTTTTTATTTTGGCAGAATTTTAGACTTACAGAGAAGTTGTAAGACTAGTACAAAGAATCCCTAGAAAACTTCCCCTCAGATTCCTCAAAGGTTAACATTTTATCATATCTGCTTTATTCTCCTCTCTTTTCTCTCTCTCTCTCTCTTTTTTTTTTTCCTATAGGGCATGTGTACTCGCTGGAGACGGAGAGAGAGAGATCAGAGATAAAAGAGAAAGAAAGAACCCTCCAGGGGGATGGTCATGCTGCAATACCTTCTCTATTCTGTTAGGATTTCGGGCGTGCACGCACACATGTCTGGCATGAGCTTCAAGCTGCTGGGTCTGTGACTTGAACCGAGGTCGGCCATGTGGGAGTACAGTGCCATAACCATTATGCCATTTGCTGGTCTCTAATTCCTTATATTCTTGGTGATCTGACAAAAAAATGGTAAATTACCAAAAACAGCTGTTGATATTTGTAGGTTTCAGTATTTTAGCTTGAGTTTCCACAACATTCTGACTGATCGGTTGTTCTTGTAACTTTGTAAAACTGCAGAATAGATTGACTTCTTTTAGCCTCTAGGCACTAATAGCTGTGGTTTACTCATTTGTTTTTGAAACACACTGTATCTACTAGGATTTATTTCAAGCAACTCTATCAGATGGGATTTTTTTTTTTTTTGGCAGTAAAGATGCCATACTTCTTGTTTTTCAGGCTCCTGCAGTGAGGCATATTGATTTGTTTTTAGACTGAGGTATCACTTAGAACCAATGAAGTGTATACATCATAAATACACGGCTTAATGAGTGCTCTGTACATCCACATAACCACAAGTTGTGTCAAGAAAACACCATTTCCAGCTCTCAGCAGGCCTCCTCATCAGCACCTCCTCATTAAACAAATAACTTTACATAAATAACTCAGCAATAGCTGCTTAAGGTTTTTCTTTCATTGCATTCTATAACATGACTATATGTATCTTTTATTAATTTAAAAGTCTGCTTCAGTTTCTTTCCCAGACTTGGAACTAGTGTTTTAAGTCCTTCAATTACTACATGAAAATTATTGGTAGTTAACTATTTTTTAGTTTCTGTCTTTTCTGGACCAGAATATCAGAATATAGAAGTCTTTTTCAGTCTGTTTCTTTCTTTCGTCATCTAAATTTAGAATACAGATGTCACTCTAAATCTCTGTGGCAACACAGGACCAAACTTGTATTACTGAAATATATGTAGTATTTATAAAGGAAGATTTTTATCTGGAGTGGTTCCTCTAAGTCTACGAACCAGAAATATCAAAAAGGATACAACAGAGGGACCAGCAGTTAGTGTAATGGCTATGTCGCTGGACTCCCACGTAGTCGACTGCGGTTCGCGTCCTGGACCCAGTTGCTTAAAACTCACGCCAGGCGCATGTGCGTGCGTGCCCAAGATCCCAAGAGGAGAATGGAGGAGAAGGGATTGCGGCATGACCATCCCCCCTGGGGGGTGATGTCTCGCTTTCTGTCTCTCTGTCTCTCTCTGTCTGTCTGGTGAGCGCACGAGCCCTACAGTGAAAACCTCTCCAAAAAAAGAAAGAAAGAAAAAAAAAAAGGATACAACAGGGAGACCAGCAGATGGAGTAATGGCTACGTTGCTGGACTTCCATGTAGTCGACTGCGGTTCGAGTCACAGACCCGGTGGCTTAAACTCACGCTGGGTGTGTATGCGTGCATGCCCAAGATCCCAAGAGGAGAATGGAAAATGGAGAAGGGATTGTGGCATGGCCAACCCCACGTGAGGTGATTTGTCGTTTTCTGTCTCTCTTTCTCTCTCTGTCTTTCTGGTGATCACATGTACCCTATAGCAAAAATCTCTGAAAAAAAAGAACAGGTGTGAATTTACGAACAGGTGCACATCCCCTGTGACAGATGGTCTCTGTCATTTCACTCTCTCTCCCCCAGCTACAGCAGATAGAAGGAGGGGGGCAGGGATATTTCATCTTTTATGTTTTCTGTAACCATTGTCGGAGAACCTCTACAGATCAATCTTGTCCTGTGGTTAAAATAAATAAAGCCACTATAATATACTTATAATAAATATAATATTACGTATTTATATTTAAATAAAATGTTTATAATAAATTAATAAATAAAGCCACTGGAAAATTCTTGATCTCAAGCCTTTTCCTTAGGGCTCTGGTTCAGAATTGAAATAATGTAACATTGGGACCAGCAGTTAGCGTAATGGCTATGTCGCTGGACTCCCACGTAGTCAACCGTGGTTTGAGTCCCAGACCCGGTGGCTTAAACTCACACCGGGCACGTGTGTGTGCATGCCCAAGATCCCGAGAGGAGAAGGGATTGTGGTGTGGCTATCCCCCCTGGGGGGTGATTTCTCGCTTTCTGTCTCTCTGTCTTTCTCTGTCTGTCTGGTGAGCGCATGCACCCTATAGCAAAAACCTCTCCAAAGAAAAAAAAAGAAGAAAAAAAAACGTAATATTTACTGCTCTGGGAAGTTTTTTTCCCCCAATTTTTAAAAAAGAATTGTTTATTTACTTATTTTCTTTTTTGAGAGTTTTTTGCTATAGGGCACGTGCGCTTGCCAGAAAGACAGAGAGAAACAGATAGAAAGTGAGAAATCACCCCCCCAGAGGGGATGGCCATGCCGCAATCCCTTTTCCTCCATTCGCCTCTTGGGATCTTGGGCATGCATGCACACATATCCTGTGTGAGTTTAAGCCACTGGGTCCAGGACTCGAACCGCAACCGACTACATGGTGACATAGCCATTACGCCAACTGCTGGTCCCTGTAACTTTATTTATTTTAATTTGAGCAAAGAAGGGCAGAATGAGAGAGAAAGTGAGAAAGTAGGCTGCCAGGTCTGGGACTCGAAATGCAGTCAGCCATGTTGGGAGTCCAGCATCCTTAACCACCATACTACCTGCTGGCCCCATTTTTCCCAATTTTTGAGAGATAGCACCGGGACTCACTAGAGAGAGAGATGAAGAGAGAGGGGAGGGAGAAAGCACCACGCCCATTGGGTATGATCACAGTATAATCCCCTCTGCCTCCATTTCTCCACTCTGTCAGGATCTAGGGTGCATACACGTGCTTGGCGTGTTTCTCAAGCATCCAGGGCCAGAATTCCAACCATATGGTCAGTCATGTGGGATCTGGCTCTCTTAACCACTAGATCACAGAACCTGCTCTGGCAAGTTTTTTTTTTTTTTTTTTTTTTTTGTATTTTTTGGCCTTGCATTTTCTGTTTTTATGTTTAAGAATCTTGCTATTGGGGCCAGCAGGTGGCATAGTGGTTGAGGTGCTGGATTCCCACATGGTGTCATGGTTGACCACGGTTCGAATCCTGGACCTGGTGGCTTGAAACATTCTGGGCATGTGTGCATGCATGATTCAAATCCTGAGAGGATAATGGAGGAGAAGTGATTGCAGTGATTGCGTCCCCCGCTTGGGGGATGATTTCTCACTGTCTGTCTCTCTGTCTCTCCTACAAGAGCATAAGCCTTATAGCAAAACTCTATTTAAAAAAAATCTTGCTATTATCCCCTGGTGGGTAGAAACCAAAGGAAAATCCCTATTGTTATCACTGAAGCCACATTTTCCTCCAAGACTGGCCCTGACTATTTTTTCTAATGCACAATAAGTCTGTACTAAAGGTACAGATTAATCACCACGTACCAATTTAGTTATCAGCTATACAACCAGGAACAAAAGGACCTCTTCCAAAACTAGGGGAGGATTTCAGGGCTTTAGGGATTTTAAGGCATCTCCACAGTTGCGTGAGTGAACATTTCTTTTTTTTTCTTTTTAAAATATTTTATTTTAGAATTGTTTAGTAGGGTAACTGAAGGCCACAGGGTCCAGAGTTTGATGCCCCGTACCAAAGTCTCACACTCTAGATTGTCCTCAATTCTAGCAGACGTTTCCTCGAGGCAAACTGCTTTTCCCTCTTAGATCTTGCACCCAGATCCTTTCATCGGCAGATCTCGGCATTATCGCATTGGCTTACATTCTTTCACCGGTAGCAGAGAGTATTCCAAACGTAAGAAGTGTTAACTGTCTAGAACTAAGATATTACTATTGTGGTGGGCACTGCGGAAGGGAAGACGTGGAGACTGCTTATGCTCCGGTCTTATCTTCTTGACCTTGGGCTACCTAAAGCCGGGGGCCATCACGTTCGTGCACGCACAGTCTATTATACAGCCCCGGCCTGTCCCACCAAACCCAGGTGGCAAACTCACCTTTTAGAGTCCCGGAAGCAACATTACTCCCACCTGCAGAAGGAATTCACAGCGCGCAGGCGCAAAGATGCCTCCTCCCCCGCCTTACTCCAAGAGCTATATTCTGCGCAGGCGCGACGCCACGCCCCGCCCTATCCCGCGCCTCTTAGCTGTGAAAGAGAAGAGACCGTCAGGTGCGTCGCGGTTTTTGACCCGCGACTGCGTCGCGCAGTCTGACGCGACAGATTACGTCACTTCCGCTCCCTCCCGGGAGGCGGCGCTGAGCCGGTGGCAAGCCCCCGGAGGGAGCCGCAGTAGTAAGGGCGACGAGCGGCGCCGAAGAGGCGGCGGCAGCGGCGCCGGCGCCCGGGGCTCCGGCAACCGGGGTGGACACGACCCCGGGCTGGGAGGTGGCAGTGCGGCCTCTGCTGTCCGCGTCCTACTCCGCCTTCGAGATGAAGGAATTGCCGCAGCTGGTGGCCTCAGTCATCGAGAGGTACCGGGCGGCGGCCCCGGCGGGGCGGCGCTTGGGGGAAGGGTAGGCCGAGCCGGATCGTCTGGACCCGCTTCCCTGGATGCCTTCTGCCCCTCCTGGACACCCCCCTGGCCCCGCCCCAGCCCCAGCTTCGGGGTTCCCCAGCCCCGGGAGACCTAGGCTTGCCCCGGGTTCTTTCCGCCAGCGTTTGTAAATAATCTGTGCCTCAGTTTCCTCTCCCGAGCAAAAGTTTGGAGGCCGCTGGTCGCGGGAGGGTGTGGTCAGACACGTTTGAGAGTGACTTTGAATGCACGGCGCTCTGAGAGGACTGTCCCAGAGCTGCCCCCTGCGTTAAGGTCAGGGTACACATGAGTTTGCATTTCTCGCCTGCAGTCATCCCCCTTGCCCGGGCCTGAGCGGAGCCCGCGTTTTGTACTGGAGACCTCCCATATGGTTTAATAACGGTCTCTCGGTGGTGTGTGATCACTGTGGGCACGTGCTGTTTCTGCGACTGAAGCCACTAGTTACCACTGATGACTTTCATTTTATATTGCACTTGTATGTTTCTCCCATAACGGTCCTTGATTACAACGTGCAGCTTGTGAGCCGGAGAGATCATTTTCTCAAGGAAGGAATGTGTTTTCTCCCTCTTTCTCTCAATAAGATGTCTTCAGACTTTTACACACGGGACTCTTTGCTGTTACATGATTTTTTTCCCCATTTTTTGCACAGGGATTCTTAGATCGTAAGAGTTGTGTTCATGCAGACGTGGTGATCTCAGAGTTCTTTTGTTTTTCGGACATACTGTGTTTAGAACAGCCTTTCATTAGCTTAATTACAGACTTTTGCTTTTAAGGCCCGTTCTCACTTTAATTTTTCTAGCCAATCTTTTACTTCAGCAATTCTCTGCAATTGCTTACTGGGTCATTTTAGCTTCATGCCAAATAAGGATGTATCTTTTATTTACTTTTTTAAAAACTTTGCAGTACAGTGTGTTCGCTACCCAGATAGG